TAATTTTCTGTCAATTACACCAACAACAATTCAACCAATAACGATGCGTAAGTTCATCAAGAATACTTTCTCTAAAAGTTAAACATATGCAGTCAATGATACTCTATGAGCTCATATCGCTGTTTTACTTTTCCTCATATTTTTTACTTGAAGTCCGAGAAGAAAGCTGTACGCTGCTTTTGTCTAAAGCAATGCATTTTGTACAAATTTGTGTCGTAATGAAAAAAGTGCACACGAAGGAGGAAGAGCAAAACGAGTGCAAAGAGTGCGGTATTCTATTTGAAAGGAGGTAAACCATTGTCGGTTCATTATTGACAACTGCATTTTTAACTCATTTTAACAGCAAATACTTTGAATTCTTCTAGCTTTAACGGAGCCTTCCATTTCGTCGTCTTATTCAAATTCACTTTCATCAAACAGTGGAATATTTCAACGAGTTTATGGTGATCCAGAATATTTCTACTACTTTCACGCTATTCAAGTCACTGTATCAACATCTGGTACTTACACTTTTACAAGTGATAGTGATCTAGATACTATGGGCTACTTTTACGATACTTCTTTCGATCCATCGGTTCCAACTGAGAATTTGATAACTGATGATGATGATGGCGGCGACAGCAGTTATCAGTTTCTTATTGAAGCTTTCCTCGAAGCTGGACACACATACATTCTAGTTGTCACAACTCATAGAGAATCCGAAACGGGAAGCTTCTCAGTATCTGCCAGTGGTCCAGATACTGCTAATTTTCTGTCAATTACACCAACAACAATTCAACCAATAACGATGCGTGAGTTCACCAAGAATACTTTACCTGCGAGAGAAAAATATGCATTCGGAGATACTTTTTGAGCTTCTACCACTGTGTTTCTTGTCTTCATAGCGTTCACTTATAGAGCAAACACGAAAAAGGAAGAGCAGCAAGAGTCGAAAGACTAGGAATATTCTATTTGGAAGGACGCAAATCACTGTCGGTTCATTATTGACCGGAGCATTTTAATTCTTTTTAACAGCAAATGCTTTGAATTATTCTAGCATTAACTGAGCCTTCTGTTTCATCGTCTTTTCCGAGTGAATTATCGGCCAACAGCTTGGTATTTCATCGACCTGATCGTGATCCAGAGTATAACTACTACTATCAGGCTATTGAAGTCATTGTATCCACATCTGGCACATACACATTCACAAGTGACAGTGAACTCGACACAATGGGATATTTTTATGATACTTCTTTTGATCCATCCAATCCAGCTGCAAATTTGATCACTGAGAATGATGATGGCGGTGAAATCAGGTTACAGTTTCAAATTGAAGCTTCGCTTGAAGCTGGACACACATACATTTTGGTTGTTACAACTCATGGAGAATCAGAAATAGGAAGTTTCTCGGTCTCAGCTATTGGTCCAGCCTCCATTGGTCTTCGATCGAGCACACCATAAACACCCAAGACAATGAACTGCTCAATATTTAATTCGTTTTTTTTTTGGGAAATTTAATTTTGTCATTTTGCATATACATATATGGAGAATGATTCATTCTGAATAGAGAAGCATTCCTGAGATCTTTTGTTCTTGCATTTTTTGAAATTTGGTACATTGATGGTGATATCTATTTGAAAAACAAAAACAATTATATTTTGGAGTTTCATGTGGATAAACAGATTTTGTTAAAAAAGACACGATATACCTGCTGATAGAAAATGTCTATCCCAACAGTCTAGATGCAGAGCTTCCCATAGAGCGACCGAACAAAAAGAGCTTGAACAACAACCTATTTCTTCTGAGCTTAAGAAAACTAAAGTAAGCATAACCTATTTAAATAAGAACAGATGTATGTGCATGCTTGTAAGAGATCTAGATTTCACCAGGCTATAGAGCTCACCGTGAGAAGCTGATCAAAAGAAATCTTTGTTATTCAAAGTGAAAAAATTAATCACATTCAGACTTAAATACTTCAAATTGGCATTATTGAAAAGTCCAATGATGAAGTAATATTCAACGTATCACTGTTGATCGATTTCATTAACGCTTTCTTGTCATCAGTTGTCGTTCATTCGGACGATTGGCAGCTGCTTATTGAACGAGCAAGTTCAACGAGTAGCAAGTTAGTATGTTCAAATAAAATATTAGATATGACTGTTACTGTTCTCATTCTTTCGTTCTTCGTTCTCTAATGAACTACTTGATTGTAATTTCATGTACTTTCAAACATCAAGGCATGTTTAGGATGTAGATGTTGGTGTGTCTGTTGGTATTGTCGTTAGTGCTGATGTAGACGTAGGAATCGTTCAAGATGATGCCGACAATCATATCCACACTCTCAAGTTATTCATACTTGAGCTTTATTTAGGAACCAATAAAAATTAATGAAAAACGTTTCTTTTGACAACGTTGTTTCTAAATAGCCCAGACAGAAGCCTAGTCACATAGCATATTTATGACAGAAATTATAGATTTTCACATTCTATCAGATGGCATTAAAATAAATCAGAAAAAAGTTGCTGTATACATCGAATCTTCCACAATATCTGTTTTTGAGAAGTCTGTCCCTATGTCTCAGTTTTTCAATCAGAGTTAAGCTTTTGTAAAGTAATAATTTGTGTACTTACAATCAGTGAGCGGGTGTTAGTAAAGAGAAAAGCAATACTACACTCACTCACATCATTTATATTGAATTTTAATAAAATCCTCTCCTGTTTAAATTTGGTATGGGTATAAGAGAGTTAAAAAAATCACTGTCATGCAAAAATATGTTGATTTTTGAGGTTATGAAACAGTTTATTTGTTAAATTAAGCAAGCAACAAGTTAGAGATATCTGCAAAGTAGAAATAGCGCATTTAATGTTGATCGTTGTTAGGCTCGTCGATTATTTTTTGTGCTAGTTTTTATTTTATAAAACTCTTCTTTGTCTGCTGAAAATGACAAAAGGAATCCAATAAAACCAAGTAATTGAGGTGAATAAGAAAGAACGTAGGTCAATAATAGAAAGTACGATTAGTGGTGTCATAAATATATCTCTGCTTGCTTTTAATTATTTCACAAATATCTCTCGATACCTTCGATTTGTAATAGTATGTACACCATGACGAGCAGTCGTTACAACGAGAATGGTAATACGCAAAAACTAAATACACCACGCTACAAGCTAATGAATGAAAGTTTATATGTAATAGGTAATTGACCAAATAGATATTCATGTGGCTCTCTGTCTAATTTATATCTACAGGTATACATACGATGGATTATACAAAATGACAGAATTTACTTTTCATTGCCATTTCATACAGTTTTCATTAATTTCAGTCAATTTTCATTAAATACTCATCATCAAATTCTGTTCACATTGGTCTGTCTCGTCCAACATATGCAGCTTCTTTCGGTTTCTAAACCAAACATCACTTAAATCAAGTATGATAGTCAATTCTCACAGTTTTCTTTTTTTTTTTCTCATAGAAATATGTTGATATAATCCATAAATGAGTTTGAGCGAGATATGTTTTAAGCGTACACTTGCATTTAGTCGATTGTAGCTAGAGATTCATGAGATCCAAGCTCTGGTTCAGTGTTCCTAACAAATAATTTGCGTTCTGGTTCTGTTACGAAAACCATTTAATCACTATGTGGATATTGGTATAAGTGCCGACCTTCTATCTATCCACATCTACACCCCAACATGCCATCATTACCTTCGGAAAAAATTTAGATTTAAAATGATCTTTTTTATCAACACTTAAAGGCAAAGACGATTTGAAAAAATAAAACAAAATTGGTATACTCAATTCCTTGTTCGAACTGCAACAAAATATATATTGGAGAGACAAAATGAAAGAAGGAAGCTCAAATGATGGCATACTGTGCGAAGACCCGATCGTTGGCATTAGACTTGAAAATTGCTAAACATGTTCAACAACACGGACATGAATTTCACTTTTCCAAAGTTGAAACACTTCCATGAAAAACAAATGGGAAAAAGAGACTTATAAAAGAAAGTATCTTAAAAAACGAGACCTTCGGCAATGCTATAAATGGTACTAGATGCATATTCCTTATATTCCAATAGTCCTTCTACGAGCGAGTACGATCATCTAGTCTTTTATCTTCTTCGAAATGATCATATAATCCTTGCACATTTGATTACTCATCACATGTACTGTAAGCGAATAGAAAAATTCTAGATGTCATTTGATTGTTCTTATATATATAATTAATTTTTTTCTTTCTTTTTGATCTCTCTTCTTATACATAAACTACCAGTTGTGTATTTTCATATTACCGTTTTTAGAAGATGTTTTCAGAAAGGAACATGAATGCTTGAATCTAATGACATCTATTTGAAATTACAATAAAATGTTATTTAGAGCACCTATATATTCATTTTTGTCGGTCGAATTTGAGTCTCAACGCATAGGTAGTGTTAGTTCCCTATCATATCTGCAACTAAAATCATCGATTAAATATTTTTATTTCGAAGAATACTCTCGACCGAACACAGCAATCACTCGGAAAACATACTTAACTTTATGTGTGAAGTATCGACGTTTTTCTTTTTTTTTCTCTTTTTTTCTCTTTATCACGCGCATGGATTTTCGCCCATATATAGCTAAAAAAAACATACATACATACATACATGCACACATTCGTTTTATTTCATCGTATACATATATTTTTTTCTATACAAGCACATTATGAAAGGCAAACAGCTAATTTATCTATGCTTTTCGGTCAGCATTACAGTAACAGTTGGTGAACATTGCAAATGTGAATCAACTAATAAAAAATTTCCTGACTCTACAGCTTTCCTATTTTTGGATTATGAAGTGGTGACTTTGGGTCTGATGCCAAATTCAGCAGCAAAAACTTCCTTTATCAGCCAATCACTTGCCTGGCTTCAAGCTGTGAGAGCTAGTGGCCGTAGCTCGTCTCGGATCATGTTTTCCCGTGTTGAATTTCGACCTGGTTATCCGGACGCCTCATGCCAAAATAAACAACTTTCAGCCATTACAAAATTAAATCTTGCTATTGCAGGAACGCCGGGTACCGAATTTTACCCTGGCTTCCAACCAGAGTCAAATGAAATACAATTTGTAAAACATCGTATATCAGCTGCGTATAATTCTGAACTTTTAACATTGCTAGACTCACGATGTATTAAAACAGTCGTTTTGGCTGGATTATCTACATCGGGTGTTATTTTATCAACTACACGTCAATTGGCCGATATGGATTTTCGTATTTATATTTTACAAGATGCTGTTATTGATTCAAATTCAACTGTTCATGATGTTTTACTGCATTCAGTTCTTTCAAGCCAAGCTAATATAATAACGGTCGATGCAGCTAAAAACATGTTATAAATATGTGACGATCAATACTAATACCAGAGAGAACAATTTTTGAACATCTTTATATAAAACTTTGAATTTATTTAGAATTGCACTTTTTTTCAAACAAAATCTGTTGACTGTATTATGATTACAATTTATTTTTCGTTTTACAAATAACCTACTTTTTTATGCGTGAACAACTTTAATATTATTAAGCTTTGTGAAGGACCTAATTGTGCGTAAAAATATTTTATGTTTTTTTTTGCATTAATAATTTTTTTCTCAATCTTGAAACGGGTGCGATCATTTTGGCCGTTGACTCAAGAAATTTTACTTGATAATAGTTTAATTTCTCAATATGAGCAGCAGACTCAAAGAAAATGTGTCATATTTGGAATGTGCCGTAGTCTATTGGCTAACTATTCATTCTCTGTTTTGCTTTGCATGTGCAGCTACCTATAATTGAACTGGTGGAGCATACTAAACTAAGGCATTTTCGAATATTGTTGTTTCTAGATTATTTGTCGATTATCCACTGATCAAAGACACATTCAGAGATTGATCAATGTTCAACAATGGATTGTCTTGAAGCGGTATGATCGGAATCAAACCTACTTGAGCTGCCTAACTTTAAGATCTTAGAGCTTTGGGCTCAAAGAATAGATATTACTGATTCCAATAAAATTGAGAAAGTAGTAATTACTTGATTCTGAAGAAAATATGTCAAATGTATCGAAGAGTAGATTGGAACCCCTTTTTCGAAATGTATTTCAGGTTCGCTGAGAGAAACACATCGCAACGAACATCTTATACACCCGTCGACAAAAGTCTTTTCCTCTTTTTCTGCCGATTTTTTCTGTGCTGCCATATTTTATATTAAATTCATTATCAAATCCAGGTATGGTTTAAATGTTTTATTTTAATACGATATATAACCGCCATGTGCTTGAATTAAGCACTGTAACGTTTTTTCATACTATCAACTAATACACTACTGGTCAAAAGTATTGACCGACCTCGGATCTCAGTTCCTATACGTACTGTGGCGTTGAAATTTGCAGTTTATATGATTCTTGATAAATATAGATCAACAGCAAAATCTGCGTCCCGAAAGAATGAGTTACAAGAGAGTTATTAGCCGAACGGTGTGTCACCATTGTAGACTCTATGACTTGGTAACAACAAAACTTTTTGAGCCAAAACTTTCGCCATTTTAAAGCCCAATGTATTAGCTATCTCTGATAAAAATCTCATCAATATTCATCGAGTTTTTGTGAAACTACACTCATTTTACTAAAGGCATGGGTGACATGAAAAACCGTCAGTAAGCAATATGTTCACCACAATTCAGTCTGAGATCGATATATAGACTCCAAACTTATAGCATAAGATATTCCTTATATATCAGCATTCTCTAAACTTTTCAGTCTTATATCACTTACTGGAAGGGAATGACATTATGCTGAATGTGTAGATGTTGTCACAGATTTAGATACTCGAATGCTTAAGTAAATGGCTTCATCTTTCAAGTATATAAACAGCATGCTTAGAGGCATAGTTCTATCGAAAAGCAATCGGAAAATTCGCAAGGTAACACAGAAAACGAGAGATGAACTTTCTTAGTCATTTTTTTCCACTATAGAAACATTTTTCTGTTATTGTTTTACCCTCTTGAGAAAATATCATGAAGAGAGGTTTTTTCCTTGTTGACAAGACTTGAAGGTTATTTACTCACCGGGATCGTATCTGTCAACGGTCTTCTGAGTGTTTTCGTGGTGATGATGAGTCAGTACAAGTATCAAAGTGAGAATTAGGGTGATAGTACATGTATAATTGTGAAAAGGATTAAATCCTCACGCATAATCATAATGGTGTCTACTATAGTGGAAAACAATGACTAAGAAAGTTCATCTCTCGTTTTCTGTGTTACCTTGCGAATTTTCCGATTGCTTTTCGATAGAACTATGCCTCTAAGCATGCTGTTTATATACTTGAAAGATGAAGCCATTTACTTAAGCATTCGAGTATCTAAATCTGTGACAACATCTACACATTCAGCATAATGTCATTCCCTTCCAGTAAGTGATATAAGACTGAAAAGTTTAGAGAATGCTGATATATAAGGAATATCTTATGCTATAAGTTTGGAGTCTATATATCGATCTCAGACTGAATTGTGGTGAACATATTGCTTACTGACGGTTTTTCATGTCACCCATGCCTTTAGTAAAATGAGTGTAGTTTCACAAAAACTCGATGAATATTGATGAGATTTTTATCAGAGATAGCTAATACATTGGGCTTTAAAATGGCGAAAGTTCGGGCTCAAAAAGTTTTGTTGTTGCCAAGTTATAGAGTCTACAATGGTGACACACCGTTCGGCTAATAACTCTCTTTTAACTCATTCTTTCGGGACGCAGATTTTGCTGTTGATCTATATTTATCAAGAATCATATAAACTGCAAATTTCAGCGCCACAGTACGTATAGGAACTGAGATCCGAGGTCGGTTGATACTTTTGACCAGTAGTATAGTTTTACATTTAATTGTCATGTAAACGAACTCATACGCATTAAATTCACATAAATACATCAGATATAATAAATAGTTTTATTTTTATTTTTATTTTCATCTAAACAAATTCATAAGCATTAAATTTATATATATATATGCATCAGATAAAATAAATAATTTAATTTTAATTTTAATTTTAATAAATTCATAAGCATCGAATTCCATTAATGCATCAAATAAATTTAATAATTTAATTTTTATTTTCATCTAAACAATTTCATAAGCATTAAATCCATATAAATGTATCAAATAAAATAAATAACTAATTTAATTTTAATTGCAATAAAATCATAGACATTCAATTCATATAAATACACCGAACAAAATATATAAATCATCGAGTTCGATCGATCAATGTTTGAGGACGATTACTTTTGCACATCTGATTTTAGTGCAATGGTAACAGGTCGTGAACATTTGCGTATCATTCATCCAGGTCATTTAATCAGACCCCAGGTCGAAAAGTACCGGCCGGTTCCCGCAGGAAAACACCGGAAATAGCCGGAACATGGAAGCAGTATTCCGGCCGGAAATTTTCGGAATTTTTTCCGCTGATTCTCCGCTCGGTTCCTGCCGGAAAACACAGGAAATTGGCCGGAATTCACCGGAAAAAATCCGGAGAATTTCCGGCCGGACTACTGCTTCCATGTTCCGGCTATTTCCGGTGTTTTCCTGCAGGGTACGGTGATTTTTCCCGCATTTTCTTGCCGGTTCCTGCAATATCCGGTGGCCGGAACGATCGACCTGGGACCTGTAGATCCTACCGGAAACTGTCGGATCCGATATCGGATCACGCCGGAATTCGTCGGATTCCCAACTAAATCCGATCGGAACCCAACCGTACTTCACAGGATTCCTAACTAACGGATTTCGGATCGGATTACGTCGGAAAGGATTCAATCGGTTCCTGTCGTAACTGCTTGTCAGATAATGCCGTAACCACCAGGATCTTTTCACAGAGAAACGCCTGATAACGTAAGGTTCCGACAGAATACAATCGGATTTCATTAGAAGTTGACTGAATCTGTTTCGATTGCACGAGGATTCAATCAATATGTCACACAGATTTCATACAAGTATTCTCAAAATTTCCAAATATTTACTAGAGATTTCTGAGAATTTCATCCAATTTTCCTCAAGATTTCTAAAGATTTTTCAAGGATTTCATCAAAATTTCTAACGATTTCTCAAGGATTTCATCGAGATTTCTGAAGATTTCGCAAGGATTTCATCAAGATTTATAATGATTTTCCAAGGATTAAATCGAAACTTTTGTACAGATTTCACTAGGATATTATCAAAATTTCTAAAGATTGCACCAAGATGTCACCAAGAGTTTAAACGATTTCTAGTGTTTCAACTGGGATTATTCCTGGAATCCAACAATGTATATACTACGATCCTTCGTAAAATCGCACAATACTTGTACTAAGATCGTTCTTAATATATAGAACTTAATTAAAAAAAATTGCAGAATTCACTTGATATATGAAAGTAGAGACTTCCTTATATAGATCGATATCCTTAAAACAAAACGGTGAATGAAATCTGGACAAAATCGGATTTCCAGATTTTTGATTTTGTTCTTGGAAATTTGTAAAAATAGAAATATCTAATTAATTAATTAGCTGATTGATCTGTCAGAATATATTCTAATTCATGAATCCGATTACGTGGAAAATATTACTGAATACCCAGGACGAACAATCCGACAGTCGGATCTCGTCGGATCCTATTGGAAAAATTATCAAATTTTATCGGATCCGATGGCAATTCGTCGAAATCCTTGGTATCGGATTCCGACAGGAAGTTGTCGGATGTCGGAAAGTGTCGGAAGTGGCCGGGATCTTGTCGGAACTCTAAAAATCCGACACTTTCCAACATCCGACAACTTCCGACGAATTTCCATCGGATCCGATGGGGTGAGATCGACCTGGGTATTTTGTATTCTTATATAATCCGACAAATTCCGATACCAGTGATTGATCGGTTTTATCATGGAATCCGGTGTCATGTGAAACCACAAATTCCGGCCATTTCTTGACATCAGATTCCCCTGAATTCCATCGGAAGCGAACAGATCCTGAGATCGGATTTGACCAGTTCCGAATACATGAACTTAGTCGGAACTCAATGAATCCGAACAGCGGATATCAAAGGAAAACAGTGGATAGCATCGGAATTCGACAAAAAGTAACCGACCGAATCCGATTAGCCGTATGTCAACGGATTTAAAACGTGTCCGACATAGCTATTTCGACCTGGGTTGGTGATAATTTTTCACTTTTTTTCCAATTATCGGTAGCCAATAGGCTATAATGGCACATAGAGAAATATGGAAAAAGAAGGAGGAGATGTACAGAAAAATAGGCTAATATGAAGATCAATATAAGTGTTAAAAGTCCAATAACCTCGTAAATGGTTGTGTGTGTGGGTTCGAAAAAGAGTTCCACACACTGACACGTCGAGCAGTAAGACAAAAACTTGAAAATAAATGTACTTCAGTCTATTGGTCGCAATTAAATGAGACGAAATACTGACTCATGCACTTTTTTTTCTTCTGCATACATTAACTAATAGTGACGAATATGTCTCTTATTGTCTTTTGCGTTCGTAGTTGTTTCTTTTTTGTTCGGTGAGAAAAATATAAACTGATGCAATTACTACGTCATTGAAAAGAAATCTTTTTTTCTTATAAAAATGAAAGACAAGTCTTTATCTGTATTTTACTGGAAGACATCTAACAAAAAGTGCAATTTCTTTTCTTTATTGTGGTAAGGATAGGTCATGGAAATCATACAACAAAAACAACTATTTATTTTCATTTATGTTCTTTCTCATGTTTTATTTTTCATTTTCTTTTCCCCTTTTACTTTCCGGTCAGAAATTTGAGTCCGCTCAATAGACCATTCCACCGACCTCTATCTGTTGCTGCGAGAATCACGCTGGTACAGGAAAGTCCTTATCGCTTCTTACATAGGTGCGTGATGTAACTGCATCAACTCATTCGAAAACAACCCAATGGTCTTTTTTCTTCAAGCATAACTTAGAAAACTTGATCAATAAGTCTTTCACATGGGATTCTCCAGACATGATCCAACCAACGTAGTTGTGACCGCTCAATACGAAGAAGTATTGGCTCAGCTTTAAGAGACTGCTGAATGGCCGAATTGCAAACTGTATCATGAAGTGTAGACATTCGCTGCTCTTTTTAGGAATCTCATTTCAGCTACCTGTATTCAAGATCGAATTCTTTCGAACATTACTCATTGCTCATGGTGATAGATGAAGATAGAGCGATAGACTTTTGATGTGTGAGTCTTCGTAGTTTTTTTCGGAATAATCTCAGTCGGCACACACGCCTCAAGGTTTGACTGACTACTAGACTCTCACGCAGCCTCGTCTCCAGGACTGACTTCAGGGATATGCCCCAATATCCCGTTACGTTACAAGCAGGTGGATTTGATTTGTCTTCTTCTATATTCTCTGATTTTCTTTATATTCTAGGAATATTGTTGTATGATAAGAAAATATGATTTGCTACACTAAAAGAATGTTTTCTCGGAAACCGACCAAAATAGGTTTCCAAGCGTTCGCAAACCGAAATAGATCTTCTGACCGATTCCAGAAACTTAAATACATTTCCAGGCTGATTTTGGAAATTTTTAAAAGGTTTTGGTATTAAAAATGAGTTTTCGAAGTTCAAAAACCTATTTTGATCGTTTCCAAAAAAAAACTTGTTTTTTAGAGTGTATATCGTTGGCTTTGTTTTTCATTGCAGTAAATATCCGTAGCCTCATATACAACTAATGGCATTACAAAATACCACTACTTCTGCTTCTATTATACCATCATCAATTAAAACTTGGCTAGAACCGAATGACATATGGATTCTTTCTCAAGATCGCGTAAAAGTACCTGAAACAAATTTAATTCCAGCTATCTGCTTCTATAATGGTACTTTTCTTCCAATTCATGCAGGTCATATTAGTGTCCTGGAATATGCAAAACAGTACATTAATAATCTCGGTACACATGAATTGCTGGCTGCATATATATCTCCTTCACATTCTGAAGCTGTCGCAAAGAAATTAAGTCCAGAGGAATTAATTGGAGTCGGGCATCGTTTATCAATGATCTATCTTGCAATTGAAAATCTCGATTGGGTTATGGTAGATTTGTTTCAAATATTTCAACCATGCAAAATTTCATTAACTATTGCCATGGAAGCATTTATTTCACGTGTTCGCTCGCAACTTCCTAATGGAGCACAAATGGATGTGTTTTGGTTAAAAGGAGAAGACACGCTATTTCATACTAAATTATATGAAAACTTGATCCAATTGGGGTTTCATACAATATATGTTCTGAATCGAGAATGTAGTGAGAAAATAATTAACAAAACTGATGAATTCAAGCCTATTCAGGATTATCATGAAAAACGCTGGCGAGAAATACAAGCTATATCTTCTTTTCCCGAAAAGTATAGTCGTTAGTTTTCAAGTAATTTCATATTCATATTTTCTTGTCTCTTAGATTACATCTAGTTCAAGCAACACGATTGAATATTTCGTCTAGGACTATTCGAGCCTGTGCACGCAATACCTTTGCAACACGTGACCAACTTCACGCATGTATCCAACTTGACAAAATCACCACCTACATCATACAACATCAATTATGGAGCACAAAACCTACTATAATGTCAGTTCCCTCTGTCTTTCCTAATGGAATTACAGATCTAACGCCTGAAATTCTTTCATCCATGTTCTCCACATATTCGATCTCGTCAGTGAAAGTAAATTCCTTTAGAGTTGAACAGATTGGTGTTGGAACAGGTTGGAACGGATCTTTGTATCGCCTTAACGATATTCAATATTCGCCTGACAGTACGAGTTGTTTGCCATCATCTGTGATATTAAAACTGTCAACTGGTATTTGGCTACAGCGTGTTGCCTCGATTGAACCAGAGTTTTATTCAAAATTTGCACCACGTATCTCTAATATCGAAATTCCGAAATGCTATTATGTCGCTCGTCATCCTCACTCTCCAAATGAGAGCATGTTGCTTCTTGAAGACCTTTCTATAGACTATGATCCGTTAGGTCCAAAGGAGTCGCTAAAAGATTCCACGATATTTCTTCTTATTGCCACAATTGCATCTTTACATGCAGAATTTTTCAATCATCCATTGTTGCAACAAGATACATTCGAATGGTTGCCTTCATTGAATTCAACACTTGCCCACTATCATAGTGAATATGCATTAAAAATGACCGATAGAGAATACACACAATTGTTAGAATCAAGAGTATCACCCAAAGCATATGCTTATGCCAAAGCACTTGTTACACATATTCCACATATTTTTCAAACACTTACCGATGAACATTATACTTTATCGCATGGTGACTTTTGGATTAATAATATCTTTGTACGACATAATCAGTCACATCGGTTCGTTCTATTTGATTGGCAGACATGTTGTCGCGCGAATGGATTGATTGATGTTGTATTTCTCTTACGCTTACTCGACGGTGATCGAGCTCGTCCACTCGAATCACCGCTTCTCGAAGTGTATCATCAAACGTTAGTGAAATATGGGGTTTCGCAGTACGATGCATCTGCCATTCGTGATGACTATTACTCATTGGCACTTCCATTTATGTTCGTTATTATTTCTTCCTTGAAAAGGCTAAAGGAAAGTAAGTTCAACAAAATAATAATGATGTTGGAAGATATTGTTGCTTATGGCAAGAAAAACGAACGAACAACATGCGAATGTGAATTATTTATATAAAGACAGAAAAACAAATAATAATCTTGAAAATAGTGTCTTGTCACTATCACTAATTTTTTTCTGCGTGTCATATTCTATTATTATCTTTTTATTATCACTATTCCTTTCTACTCGCTGATCATTTGCTTAAATGACATCTTGTCAAATAGAAACATGTATGATTGAAAAATTCCATAAGATTTAATAAAATTTTTCATATTTGGTACAAAATATAGTTAAAATTAATATCACATTCAGATCTATGTTGCATTAAAAGAATTGTTTCATGTGTTCTCAATGAGACTTTATCTTTGAGTTAGTAGAGATAAATTCTTTTTACTATTATGCTTGTAGTTTCTGCAATATGTAATAATTTGATATGCAAAATGATTGTTCATAAGAAATCATAATATTATAGATAGGACAAAAGAAGATATACGAAACTGATGTTTTAACTTTTTTAAAATGTTGATTATTCTTATTTGAAACAATTTCTTTACATGATTTAGAATTCGTTTTTAATTGAAAGGAAGAATTAAGAAAATTCCGAAAAGTTTTCATCTCATTTGTTTTCAAGCAATCAAATAAAATATGATAATAAGGGTGGGTGAGTCGATGTGGGTGTGAGTAGATGTGACTTATCAGGCAGATATGGAATCTTCTTTCCAGTGACACCTACATTCCTCTTTAATATTTCAAAGTCGACTGAATTTTTCAGTCAAATCCGACGTATATATATGTATTTATCAAATGTTTCTATGCGGTTGCAGAAAAAGAACGAATGTATTGATTCATTCGGCTGTCTTATTTTTGCAGATCTTTTTCAACTTTTGACAAAATGGGATTCATACAGAAAATATTCAACTCTTTTCGTGTCTGCGATTAGAAGAAAAGAACAATGACATAGAGATAAAGAGATAAAGTGAATTATTGTATTATGTCTCAAGACAACAGCGAGATGTTGCGCTCCTTCATCCGTAATTTCAATATATCCAACATTCAGTGTACTCAGTGTTTGTATTCGAAGAACAATTCATCTCCGATTTAATTTTGTCCAATATTCAATGTCGTTAGTGTCTGAATATGCACAAGAAGATGAACATATGAGAGATAAAGAGAACTTTAGAGCTAATTTGTTTTTTGTCAAAGCATCAGCGATATGTTTTGCGCTCTCATCTGCTATTTTATTTGTTCCAATATTCAACGTGATCAGTATCTGTGTTCAGAGTAGAAAGTGAATGTCCAATGGATAAAGAAAGAACAATATTTACCCTATTACTTCTCGAAATATCAGCGAGATGTTGTGCACCTTCTTCTCCGATTTCGTTTGCTCCTAGATTTAGTGTAGTGACAAAAAAATAAACATGAGAGATACAAAGAGAAAATAAGGATCATCACGTTGTCGTTCAGGGCATATTGGAGACGTGAGACACCTTGATGCCCTATTTGTTTTCCCAAAGATTAAATGTTGTGAATGTCTGTATGCAGAGAAGAAAGAGAATGAAAAATAACCTCAGAAATATATGGTAGAAATGAAAATCGCCGTGATGTTTTGTAAAGCTTCAGAAATGTATTGCACTTACGAGGGAGCATTCTCAACTGTCACATCGCTTTTAAGCTGAACGTATGCGCATTATGTAGGCCCTCACGATCTATGAATTCTCTGAAAAAAGTTCGTGCTGCTAGCTTATTATTGCCGAGATACAGCGTTTTTACTGTATGTTTAAGAAAAAAAAACCCGTGGTCCCCCTCAGGAACATCGGGAAACTGAATTTCGAATTTCGTCTTGAAACTTTGCAAAGATATAGGCCTCAATGAGAATACTTTATTGTGAAAGTTTCAGCTCTTTTCGCTGTTCCTATCCTAAGATATAGCTATCGTAAAATTGTTCATATACGCCAGCAGATCCGATGTTCTTATCTCAGACTAGGAGCACCCAAAAATTCTGAAACCTTCACAATAAACTGTTCTCATTGAGGTCTGTCTACATGCAAAGTTTCAGGTGGAAACTCAAAAGTCACTTTTCCTGATGTTCCTGAGGGGGACCACGGCTTTTTCCTTAAACATACAGTAAAAATGCTGTATCTCAGCAGTAAGAAGCTAGCAGCACGAACTTTTTTCAGGACATTCATAGGTCATTAGGGCCTACATAATGTCCATACGCTCGACTCAAAAGCGATGTGACAGTTGGGAATGTTCCCTCGTTAGTTACTTGACAATTTTTTTGTTCCATTGATGTTACAGTTTATTTTCTGCTTCTAAACAACAAAGTCAAACTTTCAGAAACACATGTACAATTTTTTTTCATGTTTCACGCATAATAATCAGGTGTTGCTTGCAGTAAAAACGAAGATATTCCTCCTGAACTCCAGAAACAGACAGTATCTTCAACAGAAGTTTTCACTTCTATCAGAACGTAATTCCACGTGGTAGTTGTTGGGAAAAAAGTATTGTGGTAGACGAAGTGCTATGTGTCATCGATTTCACAAGTGAGAGGAGTAAGACTTGTGATGTATGCTACAAGAGAATGAGGTTGAGCATCGTCAATAGTGGAAATTAGTTGGATTCTATTAGGATGCTGCACATTATCAAGAAGGAAAATTTATATTTGAGAGTCATCAGCAACTTTATCTTCAGCGTACGTACGTGTGCATAAAAGAATCCTACTAGCATCAAGGGTTTAGTAATACTTGATTTTTGTGAGCGGAAAAAGAAGCCGAACTTGTGAATCATTCCATTAGCTTACGTGATCCAATCGACAGTTTTGGAAGCCATCGTTCTAATGGTGATGGCCAGTAAATCGATTGAAAAGATAGCTAGCAGAATTTCTTTTGGCAAAAGTAAAATTGTTCAAATGGCAATATGTTTCCTGCATGAGATAAAGATTATCCATGAATTCTTGTGCGTATCTTGTGGTGCTTTTTGTGATACGTGTTTGAAGATCTATAGAATAAGAAAGTTCTATCAATGGGAAAAAAAACTTTTTTATAAATTTTATCAAATTCGTTTCTGATCTGAAACATAGTGAAAGTATGAAGTGGTCCGAAGCCATACATTGTATCCGATATATGTGCCAAGAAATTGATAACTTCTATACAATATTTTGCACCGTAAACCTTAGAGATAATTGACTACGAAATTTTGACTATGACGACTGATAACATTAATGTGCGAAGGATGAGTTTCTCGGTTTTCGCACAGGTGCATCATCATGACCAATTTCGAGAAATGCTTATAATATTTCTTTTTTAGTACATTCTTGATAATGATATGTCCAAACAAGCGCAAAATTCGCGTTTCATTAGATTTATATGTTGAATATGAAGTAACACAGGGTAGTAACGGTAATGTGGCGGATGAAAAATGAAATCTCCAGTAAACTAACTGAAACTCATCTACATGAGTACTAATGCTTCAATCTTGACAGAGATAGTCGAGATCAAACGACAGGTGCAGCAATCTTTTCTAGAATGATAAGAAACACAGAAATACCATGAGAGTATTCAAACAATCTACTTACGAAGGCTCTAATATGCATCTGGAGTAGCGTGTCAGCCAAGAAATAACATCCAACATGAAATTAAAATAATTTTATCAAGATATATGCTCTGATAATTCTCTTTTCCTCTGCATGCTTTATGCTGCTCCATCAATGAATTTCTTTGTCGAGGTGAAAATGATTATCATATCTGCTCACCAAGTAGCTTTAAATCAAGT